GTTGTACTTCCTATTGACTGCTATGTATTACAGTTCATATCCATCATCCTATAGTTAATATATCACATTGCTTCTTATGACCCCATTTGTGTTTCTCGAATCGAAAGCCTTTTAAAGGTCCAGAAAAGTTAAAACACTTTTCTTCCTTCTATCATTGCTTCCTCTGAATTCACTCTGTGACTCATACAATGTTTCCCCCACTCCGTCTATTAGTATTTTTTTCTATTATATTTTTGAACATCTTCATAGCTGTACTTTTTTTGTACCTTTTTTGAATGTTTAGTGCTTTCCTCCAGCCTCCCGACAATTTTTCTTTTCCCATAACTCGTCTTATAGGCAGTGTTGCCGTTTCGGTACAATTGTACTGAATTCAGTACGATGTCATGGATAAAGTACGTGAAAGTAGCAATCCAGTACAAAATTTTGTAATCGGTACAACTGTACTAAAATCAGTACATTTTGAGGGAAGCAGTACCACCTTTTTTGAATTTACTGTTTTACCGTGTCACCAATGAGCCCAGTGATAAAGTGATACGTTTCACAAGTTTTGTTTCACCTAGAAAAAAGGTCTCCTATTTTCTCTCTCAATTTAGTAAATCTTTTTCATTTTCAGTACGAATTTTGGTACATTTATTTTCTTCAGTGCGGCAAAACTGCTTATAGGTACTGTATAGTCTCTATAGTTCTATTGAATATATTGCTTTATCTGTTTCTTGTGAGTTATTTAGCCTTTTTCTTCTTCTAATACGACGATGTCTTATTTTTTCTACGATCCCAACGTCCAACTTTCATACCATCTTTTAAATGATTTTCCAAGAACTCGTTTGGTGTTTGGTTTTTGTAGCATAGTCCATTTGACTAATTTCACCAGAGACAACCTATTGATAGAGTCTCTCTATTGCCGTCGCCCGGATCGCACGAATCTCACCACATCCTGGAATCCACATTCATCTCTTACTGTACTGGTACTCACATCATCACGTACATTAACCCTTCGTATTGTTTTATATTTGCCGTATCTGCTCGTGTTTCTGCAGCATAAGCAAATATAAGTCTGATAAAGGTTTTGTACATTCGAAATTTACTTTCTGTCAACTTAAACTGATTTCTCCATATTTTTTAGATATCTAGATATTCGGACAGATATGTTTTTTTTTTGATTTCTTATGTAGTCAGTTGATATCAAGATATTGTAACCTTGAGAGGTGGTAGTAAACCTGTATAAAAGCCGCTGTAAATCGTTTTAACTTTCTGATAATAAAATTTTGTGGTCGATATAACACAGTATTTTAATGCGGTTGTTCCCTATTCCATACCTAACATTCACCTCATTCAAGGTATCGGATTTAAGTAATCTCCTTGTTTAATAACCGTCATCACACGTACTGGTTCAGTTTGTAGTTTTTATTCTTGTTATTGTGATCGAATTAATAAATAATTCTTACTATTACTATCGATCTTATGTTTCTTAAGTATTTTACTACATCCAAAAGACGTACCGGAGATGTGCAGTATAAATATCGCGTCTATCGTCGATCTATTTTGTCGGAAACCTTGTTGATTGAAAAATGTTGAAAAAAATAGTAGTAATATAATCACTAGGAAGGAACTACTGATTATATTACTGCGATTTTTTCTGCGAGGATTTCAGTAAGTTATTTTAAGACGGCGCTTAGTAATGTTATTCCTGTAAAATTTGTTGGGTCTTTCTTTTTGAATATAGGAATGATGATAACAGTGTGCCATTCTGACGGTATTATTTCTTTATTATTAATTTTGTTGAAGAGTTTAGTTAATTCTTTTTGAATTTTTCCGTACCAAATACATAAGCTTGTTGCTTATGTATTTAATACCAGGTGCTTTTTTTGGATTTGTTGATAACTTTTTTGACTTCTTCTTCTCCATTAATGGTCTTGACCTAAATTCGTAACTTTCCTCTGTGTTGTTTTCAGTGTTCGATAAAATAGTTTTTGGTTTTCAATCTATTTTTTCCAAAATATTCCGTTGGTTGTATTTTTCGTTTTCATTTAAGCCATGTCAAAATATACAATCAAAAAAGTGTTTTGATAACCTTCACAAAGTTTATGAACATTTCAAATTTCCTCCAAAAAGATTTCTATGCACATCATTACTATTGTAAAACTAGTGAAAGTTGTTTTTCTGCCATAGAAAAATGAGTCTTAAATTGCTTTAGGTGAAACGGAAGAGTTGGAGACTTTTATGGAATTTTAGGTACTTCTGGATAAATTCTGTCAAAAAGATTTCGTTACTGACGGCCTTATTTCAAATTGTATTGGGAAATAAACTTTCAAAGAGTTTTCAACTATTTCTAAAGATTACATTATCAAGTTACTTATTTTAAACTCTCATTTTTTTTTATTATTTTTTCGTTCATCACATCACAGAATTCAATAGTTAGTCAATATTTATGTATGTACACAGAAAACAGGACCTTCGAAGGTTAGAATTAATGTACTACATAAGATTCTTGAAGTGCAACGCTCCTCACATTTCCAGAAGGTTTTTTAAATAGTGTCGTTAGTTATAAAGGAATAAAAAGTTGATACAGAGAGAAATTTGCCTGCTATAGTTAGAAACTATAATAAAACCAAAGGGGCTGTCGATATACATTCGATCAAATGTGTCACCATATGAATTGTAGCTGAAAGACATAGTTTGCATAAATTCTTATGTGATCTTTATACACAGTTGCTACAAACTGAGCAAGAAGCCATTGTCTGTATTTGACTACATGTTGTCCCTCCATCAGCAGCTCTCTCATGATACAGACTAACGATACCAACTTATTTATAGCAAGCTATTGAGAAAAATCTTGGTCTGGAAAGACAGCCGGAAGCTCATAGCAGCCAAGATACCAGAGCAATGGGCAGTTATTTTTTTATAACCATTTACGCATGGTTAATAATAATGTTTTATATTTTATGGCTAGTATTCTAGGGTTAAGCACAAAAGACCACTACTTTCAGCAGAAGTTCAAAAAGCTATTAAATCTATTTATTGCAACGCTGTTTATGAGCAAACACCCAGAGTAGCAAAGAAATTCTCAATTTGCTCATTTGGACGTTTTCTCGAAGACATCTAGATTCTGCCCCCAAGATTGTTCAGTTTGCGTTATATTTTATGGTTAATATTCTAGGATTAAGCACAGAAGATCACCACTTTCTGCAGAAGTTCAAAAAACTATTAAACCTATTTACCAGGATTTAACATCAGAGGATTTATTGTAACTCTGTTTATGAGCAAACACCCAGTGTAGCAAAGAAAGTCTCAATTCGCTCATTTGAACATTTTCTTCAAAACATCTAGATTCTGCCCCCAAGATTGTTCAGTTTGCGATGTACATACATACAAAAACTCTTCACCCTTAATAAAATTTTAAGAAAAAAAAAATAGAAATAACAATATTACGTTATAGAAACATTTTAGATATTTAGACACATTTAATTGAACACATTGTCCATTAAGACACAATGATAATATTTGAACATGAACAAGTTGTATCTAGTTTTATTATTATCAATCTTTTTCGAAAGTATTAACGATACAACTTTGCAATTTACGTTATTTTCCATCAATCTTCTTGCATATAATTTACATAAACTGCGTGATACTAGTTAGTAGGATCATGTTTAATGTACATAAATTACAAAATCTCTGTCTGCATAATAACATCATTACTGGCGAGACGTCTTTATATTTGAAAAATTAATGATTGTTTTAAAAAGTTATTCTATAATATAAGATTTTCGTTTGTCAGACTACATTCAAACACTTCATAAATAAAATGAAAAAAATGAAATCTAAGTATTTCTCGGTATCCACAAGAGATTGCAAGGAACGTTCCCCATTTCATCTACACTTCCTCTATACTATTTTTCCAAATTTTCACTGTAATTTCGAATACCGTCCGGAACGGTAGGACGAACTGAAAACTCCAATAGCTATCGTAATCCACGCGTTCGACTCCTAGTCACGTACCGTTTAAATTATGCTCCCTACGAGATGGGATTTTCGTTTATCCATCGATAGTTGAGAGTACCTACCAACCGGAAAACGTTATTTTTTTTTCGAAATTTAATTTTTAACGCTTTTGCAATTAAAATATCTCAATCAAAAAAGATCAAAACCGTCACACGCGCGATATAATGCAAAATTATCGCTACCGTTTATAATTTAAACGATGAATGAAACGCGAGACGCGGTCGGTAATTAAGTGGAGGTACATCAAAGTAGGTGGAACGCTCTAGATTACCCCCAAAGAGCCGCCGCCGCCCTCGAGATTTTGGGGGGTCTGGTCTGACACGATGAGATTTTAATAAGTTTAGAGTCGCAGGCGAAAGGAGCCAATTGGGAACGCTTTTGGAGCGCTGCGCTAAATATGCAGACAGATACCAAGATAGAGACAAGAGAGTTAAATAATAATAATAATAACGATAGCAATAATAATAATAAAGAGGCGTGGTATACATTTCATTGCATAGGGAATTGAGCATGAATCGCCTGGCTAATCAAAACGAGAATCGCTACGGACACTAACAACGACGACAAAAAACAACAAAAAAAAAAGGAACACAAATAAAACCAAAAGCAAAATCATAAAGGGTTTAAGGAAATCGGGTAGTGAAAAACTATTAACCAATTTGTATTGGTTTATGGAAATATTTTGGAAAAAAATAAAATAAAAATATTAGTTTTGGAAAAAATATACACACAAAACTCTATTGGCTATTAGCGATGCAAAAAATAAAACTTAAAAAAAAGGTGATAATTAAAATGGCTTTAGTGAAAAGGATCTTTCTTGTATTACTTGTTTATCTTTTTAACTAAAGCGATTTTAGGGTCATCTTGGCAGGGTTTTTTGGGTTGGGTAACAAAAAAAGGTAAAAAAAATTAAAAAATAAAAAAAAATTTTTGATAAATAGCGGCGTGCTGCGGCGAAAGAAAGACAGGGGGTTCGATGTAGCGTAGGTAGAGCATACCGCGGCTGTGGCCCGCGACTGTGCGGCCTTGATTTGGGCTTGCAGGTGCAGAGGGGGGTGGAAATAGCGGCAGGGGTCGCGGTTGCAGCGGCCCTTCACTGCGTCCATGCAGACAGTGACGGTGCCGTCCTCGTTGGCAGTCACCGTATCGGCGGGATGCGCAAAGCGGCATTCTGACTCTGCCCGCTTGCACGCCCCCCGCTGGAACTCGCGGCACACCTACAGCAGAGGAGTCACACACCGTCTCAGATCTTTCCATAAAAATTTCTTCCGTTTATTTCAAAAATTTATTATAAGGTCATTTCTTAGTCGTAGAATATCTCTTTCATTAAAATATACAACATAATACATCAAAGAGAGACAAAACCCGATATCTCTTGATCATTGACAAAAAATGAATATATTTTAACCTCTTCTAATTTTGAAAATATAAAAAAAATAACAAAATAAAATAACTTTGATATTCGGATACTCATTCGACTAATACTTGTTCTATTACTAACGCAACAAGTACTCCAATAATGTTACAGTTTTAAAACAAATTTTTTTCCTTATCTCGAATAATATAATTAACGTAACTTTAATGGAACATTTGAGGCGTAACATGAGACCGACTACTTACGTAAAAAACTGCTGCCACTACAACTACTTCTAAAATTAAAAAGGGGAAAAATGTCGAATTGTGTATTATATAAAAATGGTGTTATTAATTAACATTAATTAATTAAAAGTCGGTGCTGCTGTTATTTTCAAGAAAATGTTTGGTTAAACAAAAAGGGTCAAAGAAGTTGTATTAGTAGCGATGGTAAAAAGGCAAAAAACGGTAGTAAGTGTAAAAAATACATATGTACATACATAGCAAAATAGCGGGGAAGGTTTTTAAACATATATCAATATATGTACAGGTTTGGTTAAGAAGATAAAAAAATAATCTCCAATTTTCGGAATTCTCGTTAATAACTTCTGTGTTTAGTTCCTTTTATTACATTTAAAAGTGTATATAATTTGAAGTAAATAAAGTAAAAAAAAAATAAAAGAAATAAATCTGTTAAGAGCAGTTAGTGTCTTTAGTGTTAGCGGTGTTTATCTTTTTGGTTATTACCTCCATTCGAAGCGCTATATAGAGAACACTCATGTTACAAAGAAACCTAATAAAATAAAAAAATAAATAAAAATAAATTATAAAAAAACGATATTTTAGAAAAAATTGTGTTATTATTAGTGTTGTAATACGATGTATTTGTTATTATTTTGATAATTAATCCCCTTGTTTACTTAATTTTATATCTTAAATTTAATAATAAATAGTTTTTTAATAATAAATAGTAAAAATTAAAGAATCATCGTTTATATAGAATAAATAGAAAAAAATGTACCTCTAATCTATCAGAGCGGGGCATTTTTTGTTGGGCTACAACCGTTTGTGGTACAACCCCCAACGGTGATGTCACCCCCGTAGGATCAGGAGCCATAATCGTGGGCATAATGTGGCCTGGAGCGAAATACGGACTGTATGTGCTCCCCACTTGCGGCATTCCGGTCAAGTATGGATTTGCAGCCTAGAAAATATTCCCAAATTAATTTTACAAAAATAAAAATCATTTCCAACATTATTTTTAGCATTTATTACTATCATGCAGTAATTCCAAAAAGCTAAGCAGTTTTTAAAAATCGTTTAATGAACAATATTTTAACTTATTAATTTAAAATGAAGAAAGAAGCAGTAAAGCATACGGGTGTCGCTTTGGACGTTCTGTTTATTAAACAAAATGCCCGTTAAAATTACCATTAATGCATACTGCTCGTCAACGGACATGGACAAATATGGAAGTAGGGTGAGGGGTAGGCAATCAGACGATGGATCCACCTCCAAAAATGAAATCCCATAATTAGTACAAACCAACACCAAAAAATACATTTTAAATATAAATTAATTAAGAACAAGTACAAATTAAAACAAAAATAAATAAATAAAAGTGGTTATCGTGCAGGCGCTGCAACAATAAATAATGACATCATAAAAATTATATGAAAATGAAAATTCCATATCCATGCAAAAAGTAGTGTGCCACAATGAAATGAAATACAAAACTTACTACTGCTGGTACTTGACCAGGAACTAAAGGTTGACCAGGTGTCAATCCCATCTGTTGCATCAGGGCATTCTTCAAGGCGAGGTGATTTCTTCCGTTGATCAGGAGTTGGTCTTTTAGGTGTTGTGGCGGGTGAAAGTATTTGCATGGTGGCTTTTCTCGGTTACACCGACCCTGTAACAAAAAATTTAAATATAGTAAAATCTCGATATAACAGACTTCGGATATAATCGAAAAATATTTTTAAGTCATACTATTAATAATATTATCTATAATTATAAATGTTTATATATAAAAACAAACTCGGGGTATTCCCCGTTGTTTATACGATTTATAAATCAAGGACGGTAGTTCTAGTTGTAATGTATATTTTTATTTAATTAAAAGTAGAACTCACACTAGACTTAGAACTAGAAACTCGGGTTTAGCAGTGCGTCTCTTAAGATGGCCAAACAAGAAAATTTAGACACGAAGCTGAAAATTACTAAGCTTTTGGTGGAAGAGATGTCTCAACCCGAAGAAACTAAAATTTGAAACATTTTGAAAAATAAGGAAAAATTTGTTGATGGAATAAAGAGCGGTACACCAATTAATGTAACGGTTATAAGAAAAGGAGATGAAATTATTTCAAATATGGAAAGATTATTATTAATGTGGATAGAAAATAAGATAAGTCGGTATATTCCACCAAGTCAGATAATTATACAAAATAAAGCTCTAAGTTTATTTGATGATTTAAAAGCCAAGAATGGGGAAACAACGGAAGATATTACAATCGTTGTTAGTCATGGATGGTTTGGAAAGTTTAAGAAGAGGTCAAATTTACATAACATCAAAGTGTAAGGGGAACTGCAAAACTAAAAGTGCAGCTAAATTCGTTGAAGACCTAGAAAAAATTATAAAAGAGGAAGGCTACACTCCTGATTTTTAACGTTTATGATACAGGTTTGTTTTGGAAGAAAATGCCTGCAAGAATATTTATTGCTAAAGAAGAAAAGTCTATGTCAGGTTGCAAAGCAGCAAAAGACAGAATAACATTTTTATTGGATAGCAACGCCTGAGGCACTATGAAAGTGATACCAATATTAATTTACTAGAGCGAAAACCCTAGAGCCCTGAAAAATTATGATAGAGATAGGATAGGTAAAGGTGAGTTTAGACATGCATGGATTTAGTGGCGCAGTTTTATTTGCACGCCAATATGTCGAATAAACTTTCCGAAGCATACAAAATAGTCGCTAAACTTTTAGTGGAAAAACAGATAAAAGAAATGTAGAAAAAGAAACGATGAAAAGGTCGTGTCTGGGTTAGACCATGGATTAGTCTTCGATTTACTTTGGGTGTTTCTGCAAAACTTCTGCGAGAACTCGCAACAAAAGATTCTGCAAGCTCTAAAAATCATCTACGAATGACAAAGCAAAATTGATACTCTTCTGGATTGTGTTCTGACAAGCACTACTATGTACATCCCATAAGATTTATAGCCTTCAAGAAATTTGATTGTCAGTTCTGCCGACCAGTTTCTTTTTTGCTATAATAAACTATATAAACTACAATAAACACAAATTAGGATCTCAACCGAAACCAAAATCTAACTAAAAACTGGTGAGCCGATATGCAAGAATTGTTTACACACGCAAATTTTGTTTTGCTGCACGTATTATTATGTCTTCACTGGCGCCAGTGATTTCAGAAGCGTGAAGACTTTTCCACTCCATGCATGCATGATTTCAACTTGCATGCTAGTTGATGTTTACACATGCAATTTAGTTTAATTTTTACACCTTAACTGCATTTGTTTTTCAAGACTGGTTTAAAAACTGTTTTTTACGTACTGAGGTTACGTATTGCAAGAAGAATAAAATTTCCTTTAAGATTTTGCTATTGACAGAAAACTTTCCTGGTCACCCTCAAACATTAAATAAACTGCACCCTGATATTCGCGTGGAATTTTTACTAGCAAATACCACTTTTATACTACAACCTATGATTCACTGTGTACTAGCCACCAGTAAATTAAATTATCTAAAACGATCTTTTAGTGAATGTATAGTAGCAATAGATAATGAAGAAGGCTGAAATCGCGAGATCTTTTTAGATTCATAGATCTCATTTTAGATTGTATTAAAATAGTGCGAGATGCTTGGAATAATATCTTTCCAAGCAGGAAACAACAATATAAAAATCTTGAAAAGGTTATGACCCTACAACCATAATAATGGGCAACATTATATAAATGGCAAAAGAGCTAGATCTGGAAGTAGAATCAGAAGATGTAAATAAACTCCTTGCTTCGCATGATAGATCTCTGACTAACCTGTTAAACCTTGAAACACAAGAAGAAGTCAACGGTAAAGATAATAATATTGAACCATCTGAATGTTTGACAGCGAAAATAATTCTACAAGCGTTTGGGCTCCTTGACAGAGCTATGGCTCTTTTTGAAAAGAAGTTCAAAAGTTAATGCAAACCTATCGAATGCTTATGTTTGTTATAAAGAAATCTACATAGAAAAGAACTGCAATTCAAAGAACTCTAGATAGGTATTTTCACGCAAAATCTATACCATCTACGTCATCAACCGTCGCTATTCCTATTGAAATCGAATCCACATCGCCACTAAGAAAACCTCGACTGTTACATTATATGTACTTATGATTTATTTGTATTGTGCCTATTTTTGATTATATTTCTACCGTCAAAGTTTTAAAGTTAGTACCCACATGTACGGATACCTGCACTAATTTAATTATTAAAACATTTTTCGTTTTACGTACTTTTTCATTTTATGTACATGCGTTGGTTAAGTACATAAATAATAATAATAATATGACGAAAGTATGCTTGAATTAAAACTACACCTAACACTAAACCTAGAACATAGATACATTCGGGTTTAGCCGTGCGTCTTCAGAAACGACTTCAAACTTTCTAGTTCTTGGTCTAGTGTTAGTTCAAGTTTTAGTTGTTATTCAGCGCTAGATGGTTGTATATTTTTATTGAATTAAAAGTAGAACTAACACTAGACCTAGAAACATCGGGTTTAGTCGTATTAAGAGATGCACGGCTAAATCCGAATGTTTCTAGTTCAAGTGCTACTGTTAGCTGTAGTTATGTTGTTATTCAGCGATAGATTGTTATCGATATTTATTATCACATAACGGACTTTTGGCTATAACGAACACTCCTTTCCCCGTATTAGTCTATTATATCGGGATTTTACTGTAATTATTTTAGAAAAAAAATTTAAAAATAGTAGTTTTTGATTGATAACGAAGGTATAAATTACACCATAGTGGCACTTCGTACAAGCTTTGATTCAATAGCAACATACAAGTACAGTTTCTTTGATGTTGTTATTCCATTACTAATTGGCAGCAGTGGGTTGCTCGTCGTCACTACTAAAGCGCATTATTGGCGCACCAAAGCGCCGTGTTGCGCCTTTTGTGAAAGCATTAGCCCGTTGATGCGAGAGCGTTTAATTATATAAATGTGCGAGGGTAATGTATTAGGTAATGAGAACATTTCGGCAATAGTGGTGGTGATTGAGCGTTAAATTTCGTTTATCGAGAATTATTACCTAATCGGAGTGAGTTACAACTACACTAATAACGATTTTGTTTTTATCCTTCTATTCCTCTACTATTTCTTTTTAACTTAAAGAAAATTTTTCTTGGTAGAAATTTTATCGAAACGCTCACTCACTTCTTCTATCTTATACGAGTAAAACGAGGAGGGGTTCTCCTCTAGGAAAAGAAGAGAGTTACTTTTTAATCCACTAATGGAACGACACGTCGCCGTCGCCGACCGACCTTCCCAACCAACCTTCGAGGAAATGCGATGGAACTTTCAAATGACCGCGGTCGGTTCCTTTCTGATAAATTTACTCCGGATCCGTCCCCACCGGATTGATGACTCGGCACAATTAATGGGTCTTTTTTCGCCCTTTTTCCTTCGCGATATCGGAAAACTTCTCATTGAGGGCCCGGTTATTAGATTGGATCGCAGAGTAGAACCCAAACCCCTCTCTAATTGAAAGCCTCCATACACAAGTTAATTTAACCGTGTTTATCTACGATGAATATGGTTTAGGCGTTGAAATTTAATTAACTTGCAGGTGAAGCGTTTTGATTACAACGTTGTGTATATGTGTATGAATATTGATGCGTAAGCATCGTCCCTATATGGACAGCTTCAATGTAACCAAACGCTATTATAAGTTTAAGTATCATTTCCTATATGTAATGAACCCCTTTGTTCAAAATATTCAATTTTCTAATTGGATTTCTTTTTATTCGTTGAAATGAAATAAAGATGGTGAGTTTGATTTAAAGGTGTAAAGTACCAAACATTTGTACATTAATCATCTCGGCCTTTATATCTGTTTGCCAGCTTAGAAAAACAAATAACAATGAAGGAAATAAATTCTGCCAGGAAACGCGGGTGGAAAGCACACGCAACAGGTTGTCCTTTGGAGAGGGGAAGGAATGAAAAGGACCTGTTTCTCTCGTCCCTATATTCACACACTCAACGTCGCCATGGCGAGTCTAAAACGCGCACACCATCTCGTGTTCATAAACTCTTATGCAAGCACATTAACGGTTAAAACCTGAATTGCAATTAGATACCACCCACTAAAAGAAAAAAGAGGATAAAAAATCGAGAAAATAGGGTGGACTTTGTGTTATTATCCCCTTTATATTCTTCAGTTTTCTCGTTAAACAAAAAAATGTACGCACGCAAATAGCTTATTATGCACTGGCCCTTCGCGGAAATATAATTCCGGGTAGAAAAAAGATACGCGATAAATCAGGTCTCGTAACAAAACATGGTAATGACACCGACAAATTGGCTTGCAAATGGAGAGAGAGGAAAAGCACCGCGAACATGGTCCGCGAACGCGACCGCAAAACATCGAACGATTTTTCATCTTAAACGCCGTGTATAATAGCCGAACCAAATCGAGCACCCGGTTCGGTAATTCAAGAGCTTATTAGCCCCGTCGAGTGTACACCGAGACTCGAGGGGGCAAATTTTAAACTTCAACTTCGTCAACGGTACCAAGTAATAAATTGCCGGTGTCACTTTGTTGCGGCGACGTCGTCAGGAACGAATGTTTCACAGAACGGAAGGTAATTTATCGTATCACATATAAGAATCATCTAGGATGTTTT